GCTATCATTAGTTAGGAAGCTGGGTTTCATCTGGGTGCCTGGTTGGGGTGTGTTTGAGCTGGAGGTATCAGGGGGGATCTGTTTGTGCCCAGGTGTTTGCCTGGCTTGTGGTGTGGAGATTTTTTTGTTTGTGAGTGCAGGCTTCCAAATGATTGACAGCCTGGTGGAATCATCTCTTCTATTCATGCTTTCTAGTCTTTTTTCAATCTCTATGGCTTCTCTGATGATTCTGTGGCTAGGGTTTTCTATAGTGGCTAGGGTTTTGGTGCCAATGAAGTTGATGCTATGACCTGTGGCTTCCATGTGTTGGACTAGTGAGGAAGTGTGTTCCAGCTTTTTGACTGCATTTTTGTGTTCATTCAGGCGGGTACTTATTCTTCTATTGGTCTGTCCAATGTATGTGGGTGGGCATGATGCACAGGGGACTTCGTATATGTCTTGGTTTTCCAGGTCAATTTTATCTTTGGGGTTGCTAAGGATGGCTGCTATTTTTCTGTCTGTTGCTACAACTTTAAAAGAACAACTACAATGACGTGGGAAAATACCCGAACCAAGCCGAACATGCATTTTAACTTTTTCGTATTCACTGTGCTTGCTTTAAAAATTTATGTCTAAAAATAAATATTCAAATATCTAAATAATAATAATTTAAGAGTATTTTAACACTTATAAAACATGAATCTCTCTGGATGTTTGATTTTCTGTAAAGGACAATTCAAGGGTTTATCTCAGAAAATACACACTCTGGAAGTGAAATTTTGGTTTGTTTTTACAGTGTGCCCCAACATAAAATTTGTGTAAGAAATAAATTGGTGTAAAATTACCACTACTTGTATATTTGATTAGATGTGTATTTTTTAAAAAGTTGCCTTATAACTTGTTAATTAATCCAGCCTGAAAATGACTATCAAGAATAAAAGTACTTTCTTAAACATGCATACAAGCCCACACATTCACACATACAATGTTGGGAGTTGCACAGCAACAAAATATGTAATCTGTATCTCTGATCCAGAGATTTACCTCTGAAGATCACAGACATGTACAGCAAAAAACTATATATATACATAGAAAAAGATCAGAATTTTCAAAATAAGATTTTCCAGTTAGTCATTATTAAATTAATAATATGTAATTCAAAGAAATAGTTTTCTGATTGCTTCCTTTAGATCCAGGTGCTCCCAAAATGAAAGGACGTTTCAGCCATATTTTATAATTCATATATGCTTTTCTAAGAAATAATGATTAGTATATCATTTTTACATATTTCACAGTACTCATTGAATATCCAACTTCATAGACCTAGTGATATATGCAGAAAATGATCAATTTATTAACTGTGGAACTCTGTCTGAAATTAGTTTGTTATATGAAGTCTCATGGCTTTTAGGAAGAAAGGATAGCTCTTCTATAGGATCTTATTGTACCTCTTTGGTAAAACACATTGTTTGCATGTGCTCAGTCTTTGAGGTTTTTCAATAGGATTGAAGAAGAGGGTTGAAATAATGGAACTGATAATGGAGTAGAAAGAAACCATTTATATATATTTACATAAAGTTGCATATTATATCCTAGTAATTAAATATCAGAAATAAGACTAAGAAAGTTATTGATCCAAAAGATTCCAGAAGTTTTCATTTGAATTAATAATTATGCTTAATTGTAAGGTCATTACTACCTTAACCTGGTGAGTGCTAGTATTCTGGTTAACAATATTTAATATCCCTTTTCACATGACTGTAACTAAGGAAAATAATATGCTATGTTTTAGTCATGATGGCAAAGATCCAGCTTTAGACAGCCAGTGTCATGAAGTGATTAATATACTAGGCAAGGATTGAGAAGGCCCAACTTCTAGTCTACCTTCAGCTAAGAAAGGAAAATTCATGTATAATTATAGATAGTATTTGTTGTATTCAGTGGTTCGAAGGTCAGCAACTGGCATTCCATAAAGTTCTCTGCAAACTCGTAGCAAGATTGGTTACAGTATTTATCTTTATCCAGGCTATCATTTCAACACTTTTCAAGTGTTGACAAGGTTCGTTATGGACTACATATTACATCCATATGGTCACATACATGTGCACACTCACACAGAGATTTTCAAAATAGTAGTTTTACAAAAATGATAAACACGTAATTCTTTGCACAAAGCATTAGAAAATACTGTGATATTTTATTATTAAAAATGCTGCTGAAAAGTTTATACATATGTGTCCAGCCATATATATCTTCTGTCCTTACTTAAGGCAAACCAAAAAGAAAAAAATGAAGAAATAATAACAAAAAAAACCCTGCGTGCCTCTTAAGGTTAAGAAGAAAAGTCTGGGATTTTTTTTTTCCTATTCTTTAAAGTATCCTTTGTCGTTATTATTATACAATCCTTTGAAGAGCCTAAAAATTTCCATTTATAAATCATACATCTGTCTCGATGTATTAAATTATTAAAGTGACATCATCTTCATTGATTTTTAAAAGCTAAAATCATTCACTTACAGAAATGGTTTTATCCAAATGTCACAAGCCTGACACATTACTGTACATATTGCTAGCAGAAAACAACTGGAAGTACTAAACAAATACCATAATTCACATAACAAACATACCCATCTGAATAAGATACCATCATTTTCCTTATTATTCCCCACTGAGTGATGAAGAAGTGTCATGTTTTAGACATGAAGGCAAAGATCCAGCTTTAGACAGCCAGTGTCACGAAGTGATTAAGATACTGGGCAAGGATTGAGAAGTCCCAATTTCTAGTCTTCCTTCAGCTAGGAAAGCTCACTAGGTGACTTTGTGCCAATCCCTACTTTTAAGACCAATCAATTTCACAGGGTTGTTTTCATGGGGAAAAGCTGGAGGAGGGAAATGTTATGTATGCTGCCATGAGCTCCTAGGGAAAGTGAAATATAAAACTAACAAAATAAATACATTACAATTACATTTTAAAAAATCAAGGAATGCATTGACTTCCTTTGACTATTGGGTAAAAATCGGAACTGTTAAAATTTTATTTGGGAGGAAAAGGAAAATATGTACTAATTTCATTTTCTAAGAAGGAAGATCATGTTAACAATTAATTCTATTAGGTCTCCAGCTGTTGTTTGCTACTCTAGGAACCTGTTTTTCTCTCAGAAACAGCATGAAGCTGTACATATATTCCATACTCCATACCCAGCAAAACATCAAAGTAGCTGTAGGTTAGAATAGCTCAAACTAGAAGCAGAAGGCATCCTGTGTTACATTATGTGACATAACATCACATGTATATTTATTGTTATAAAGATGATAGTATAGCAGTATTGTGCCTTCCTCAATAAAAGAGAAAAAATAGAATGTACACCCCAGGAAAGCTGTGATCTTGTGCAGAGCAACTGTGTTCAAATATCTTTGGTTTCTACCTTTATGTTAAACCATTTGTAACTCACTAATAACAATTTCTACTTTTGTAATGTCTGATTTATTTTGTTGATTTATTTTCTTTAGAATTGTTTTTCAACTCTATACAGAGATGCCAGGCATATTGTTGGAACAGTTGCATTTCACATCACGCTTCCCTGCATTTGTAGATGATGTGAATATTTTCTTATAGAATAATGATGAATTATGAAATGATCCAACTTCTTCAAAACAACTCGCCCATTATACATTAATATGGATTCTCACTAGCTTTCCGTGGTATCAAGCTTAAGCTTGATTAAAATAGGTCAAAAGTTTTAGCTACTGATCCAACAAGAACTTAATGGAAAAATAATATCGCTCTTTGTCTAACTTGTGTGATCTCCATGTTCAACGTAGCTATATCCATTTTCCTTCTTTGCATAACCTTTTCTACCATCTGCTAGAACAGGCAGAATCTTATCAAAGGAAAAAAAAACTGCTTTAGAAAGTAGGCTGTCTGAAAGAAGCAGAGGTTCATGGCACATAGGATACCAAGAACAAGATTCCTACATCAACTGAACAAGCTTGTTGAAATTCTTCCAATTTGCCTCTGTGTTGCAATATAATGGATGTTAACACAAAGAGAAAGGAATATGGTGGGGTGGGGTGTGGGCGGAGAGATTTCTTTCCATTAAGGGAGGAAAAATAAAATCCTGTTCCTATCTACGGATGCCTTAACATGCATCTATTCAACCTGTAAAGGAAAATCTAGCAGGCCACACAGTCATCCGTGTCCTTTGTATGCTACAACATGTTTTCCCAGAAATGAAACATTAGGAAAAATCTTTCATTGTTTGGATCATCAGTAGTAATTAAGAAGAATGCCCTCCTTTAGGTCTGGGAGGAAACATAGGTGGTATGATTAATGCTTATACACATAGATCACAACTGAAAGCACAATCTTTCTAAAAGCTTTTTTCAAACTGAAAACATCAATAAAAGCTTCTTTTTTTAAAACTCACAGCTATGTACACTTTTTTTTTTTTTTACAAAGTTCCTTAAATATAGTTCAGGCTGGCAAGTCATCTCTTTGCACAGAACTATACATATTTACTGCATAGTCAGTCCTATTTTTTTTAATAATAATAAAATCTTATTTCCCCATTCTGGATTATAGCTTCTTAGGATGGGTAAAAGCCCATGATGACGTCTTTTGTATAACAAGGGCCATTCATGGTATGGCACATATAGAACATCTTTTTTTTAAATTTTATTTATTCAAAGAAAAAGAAGAAGAAGAAACCCTATACAGTCATTGGCTCTGTGTTTCAAAAGTTCTGTTTCTGTTCATTACACTCAATATATATCCTTTTCTAGGAGACTTTCTTCAGGCCTCAACTCTTATATTCAATCAAAGTGGTTGAGATATTAAAGCGGAATCCTAATAGCAATGTACACATTTCACAGGGTTTGAGAGGGTGATCTTTCTTGAATATCAGAGTTCCTATGGAAAGGATCTGAAATTATGACCGTTCTGCTCTGTCACCTTTTAACTTTTCATTTTCACAAATTTCTTGATGGAGAATATGAATCCCCCCCCCTTTTTCTTATGGTTAATCTTCCAGGTGGTATGTGATGGGTGAATGACTGAGCTATACTCTAGTGGTGGAATGTCCATGAGGCAAATTAGTACTGTTCTGTCCTCCACTGAAGGTGTTGAAAGTATGCAAAGGTTGCATTCCTGTTAATGTATTTGGAATCATGGTTATGGTATTGGGTGTCATGAGTGGAATATCATCTGGAGATCTTCTAAGAGTCAGGGTGTAATCAGGTGGACAGGTGAGTCTCAGGGTATCATGAGCTTGCAGTGACTCACAGTCATGATCATGCTCAAGCTGTTTCATCTGCAGTGACATAATTTCTTCATTCTGTATATGGGCAATATCATTGGTTGTGTTCCTTTGGGGACTGGGCCGTCTGTGTGTCTCATGACGTCGCTTGTCTTTCTTATAGTACAAGGCCGCAAATGCCAAAATGTTGAGGAATAATAATGATGCTCCTACAGCAATAGTAACACTTAGCTCCGTGGAATAATCTCTCTTGTTTTCTATCAGAACACTTGTATCCTCTGGAGAGGTTTTCTGGGTGTCTTTTGAATGCTTTGGATTGTTGCTTGGAGTCATTAATGGGCGTTTGGTAGTAAACTTCCCAGGAGAACGTCGGGTAACATATGGGAATGATGTCATATCAGGCGGTGGCACCTTAGTTGTAGTGGAAACATACTGAAATATTTCATTCAAATTGTGCAAGTGTGGTACAAGTTCTAACCAGAAAGCAACTTTTGTTGCTCGGTAGTGATCTCGAACTCTGGGTTTCAAACCAATGTGCAGATAAAGCTGGTCTTTTGGGTTGTATTTAGACCAAGCAACTTCTTCAAAACGATTAGGCTTTGTATGGATGAATTTTGTATCTTGGGGAACAGGCTGGTTTGGATCCCTAAAAGTATACAAATAAATAATATTAAAAACAATCAACTTACATACTCAAATATATTACAAGAGCTAAAGTCAATTTCATTACAGTCGTTACTTGATGATATTTTGAGTTTCAAGGTTATGATTAATAGAGTACAGTCTATTTAGATCAGAATACTTGCCCAAAATATATGCTCTGATTCATTTTATAATACTTGCAAAATGAATTGTATATTTGCCTAACATATGAAAGGAATACTTTAAGTTATTTTTTTTTAAAGGCAAATATTCAGGAATTTTCAATAATAGCTCACAAATGCAGATTTCAATAAGTGAAAGTGGGTAAAATGTCAGGTGTGAAAGACCAGCTCTACATGTGAAGGTTCAATTAAACTAATTTATTGCTAAAAGGTTATACACCTGCTTAGAGTTAGATAAGGTTGAACGACACGGAACTGGACTTTCTTTATGGATATGTATGGATTCTAGGCTGTTTCCCTTTTCAACCCCAGGTTTTGCCATCCCTTTGCCTATATAAAGGGATGAACTATGAATTGTGACAGCACTGAACAAACTTCATGACTTGGCAACTTGAATCTGATTTGGGATGCTAGTATGAAAAGGGGCTATTTCGTGATGTTGAGTGGTAGGTTTCCTCAAAATTATTTGTCATGTATTATCTCATCACAATCTAACAGATTCTCAGTTGCCCACATACATCCAATTAAAATATGTTTTTCAATAACCATAAAACACATAATGTCAAGGAGGTATCATGATTTAAATGCTCTCTCTGAAAGAGCCCAATTTGCAATATATTCAGAAGTGGCATATGCACCTCCTCATGCAGGAGGTCATTCCAAAGGGCCAGAACTGCCACAGAAAAACATTATTTCTGAATGTTAACTCTCCACTACCTCTTGAATGTAGAGAACTATCTGCTGCTTTTTCTAACATGATTGTAACAGATGGGCCAATGGAAGATGCAGCTCTCTAGATAGCTTGGCACTAAGCCGTAAAGCATTAACATCAACACTTTAAATTTTACCTAGAAGCTTATAGGCAGCTAATGCAGGGTTCACAATACAGGTATAATGCGCTCCCAACAATAACTACTGATAAGTGTCCAGTCTATACTAGATGAAGCTTCAAGTAAGTTTTTAAAGGTAATAGCCATTATTATTATGGCTTACGTAAGCTGCCTATGAATATAGATTTTTTTTTAAAAAAAGGCTAAAAATGTCAAATCTTGAAAGTTGTAATTACAGTGTTGGAAATCTCTCTTTATAAAAACTAAGAATTTTGAAATAAAAACCATTAAAGGTTTTGAGAATAGAATGGATTTTTTTCCTATCTTCTCTATATGTACATATATTCACTCATTTCCTTGTCATAGGAAAACTGGTCCTTCCTTGGGGTTTCATTTTAATTATATAGGGCTGTTGTGGCAAATCATAATAAATATTTTTTGCTATGTTAACTATTGTTTTTGTTGGAACAGCAGTAATTTGTATTAATGGCTACTGAAATTGAACATGTTTCCAATGTCAATAATTAGACCTGAAAATATAATTTGTATAAAAGCTGCAACTATATTCCTGCAACAAATTGTTTCAAGCAAAGGTATGAAACCTGCTATAATGCAAATCACCAAAAATATAAATATAACTTTATTTGAAATTATTCAGGCTACATTCTACATTTCCCATTCAGTTACCCTTCCAAAATTGGATTGTACAATGTAGATATCTATTAGATTTTGCCACTGGCAATACATGTTGAGAAAAAACAACAACCAGTGTATGTGAATTTCTGGTTTAGATTTATAGAGTTTTAGATCTAGAGTTTTAGATTTCTGGTAAATATATAGATCACACTCTAACTTGTGATCTGGCCTATTATAGACTATCAACTCTGTCTCTACTTTAATTGGATCCAGTGTGGATAATGTGATGTAAAAAGTGCTTGGTTTACATACACAAAAACAGTTATAAATTTTTTTGATGGGAAATTCTTATACCATCCTAAATATTTTTACAGTGGTTTTTCTGCTCAATATAGAAGGGTTCTGTATGGTTTCTATTAATTGTTAAATAGGTTTCAAGTTCCTTGCTTTGATTTTCATGTTTTGACTATACACAATAAATAAAGAAATGGCATCTATCTGCCAACCCACTATCTACCAAACACACATAAAAATGCAAAAAAACTAATTCTGCTATATATAAAAATAGTTATGGATTTTGGCATTTTAATTAATCCCTAGAATTTAATTCAGCTTAAAACAAGTTCTTCCCCTAAGAGAGAAAGGGTTGATGCAAATGGGTGGTCCAAAATTTAAAGGTAACAAAACAAAGAGAGGAAGGAATATTTCAACTTCAAGTTGTGGCTCTGTCATTGTTAGGGATGACCTGAAAGTTCTTACATTGGATTTTCCCCATCTTGTTTACTTAAGACAAAACTTGTAATAAGAACTGAAAATGCATTCTGGAAACAAGATAGAACTCCTAGATTTCACGTAGTTACAAAGTGCTGTCAGCTTTAGTTGAGTAAAAGAGATGAAAAGAAAACAGTAAAATTTCTCTTGCTAAGTTCTTCTACATAAATTGAAGAAAATTCCATGAAGTAGATCAGTGGGATTCATTATGATATTCTTTTATTAGCCACAGTAACAATTGCTTCACCATGTTTTAGAAGAATTGAAGCAAAACAATTTTTATTGTATTGCATTAGTATTTTATATTTTTTTTTATAAAATACTAAACTGTTGCTGAGGTAACAATTACAGATTTGTCTTCAAAATTGGACAAATATGTGAATATATTTTGTCCATTGCAACTATTGTGTTCAGCATTCTGTCTTCTGTTATAAGCTTTATTATTTTTTCCTCTGGTTTTTCTTGACATATAAATTCTTTTTCAATAAGGTGGTAAGATGCATACTGTATTACATTGAATCGCACTGAATGTTCTCTCTCTCCCTTCCTTTCTCTTCTGTATAGGTAAAATGTACCTGTGATTTTAAATATCCATAACTACTGTAAAATTCTCCCAAGGTTTTTTTATTGTTTACTATTGTTAAAACTATAATTTAATCTTAATAAAATTTTATATTAACCTAATAAAATTTTCCTTTTCATAAGATCTCCTAGCATTCATAAGTAATTCATCATGCTTATATAGTATCTGAGATACTCACTACAGGTAGTCCTCGACTTACAAAAGTTCATTTAGTAACCGTTTGAAGTTACAAAGGAACTGTAACAGTGGTTGGTTTCAAAAACATTTCCTACCGGTTTGGTGTGAGCGCGTGTGTAAAACAGCTGATGCGTTGCAAATGGCTGTGCCGCACGAAGCAGCTGAGGTTGAAAAACAGGAAATAAAGGTAAGAATATAGCCAGGGCAGGCAGGTGGGCTCAGTAGCTGATTGTAGGAGTGAACCGGTTCGCTCACAGATGATCCTCAGAACTACCGGTTCGGCTAAACCGGGCCGAACTGGTAGAATACCACCACTGCACTGCAAACACTGACTTATGACTGTTTTTCACACTTATAACTGTTGTAGCATTCTTATAGTCACATGATCAAAATTCAGATGCTTGGCAACTGACATGTATTTATGATGGTTGCATTGTCTCCAGGTCATGTGATCACCTTTTGTGACCTTCTGATAAGCAAAGTCAATGGAGAAGCCAGATTCATTTAACAATCATGTAATTAACACCTGCAGTGATTCACTTAACAACTGTGGCAAGAAAGATCATACAAGGAGGCAAAATTCATTTAACAAATGTTTTGCTTAAGCAACAGAAATTTTGGGCTCAATTGTGGTCATAGGTTGAGCACTACTGTATTGGACAATTCATTTAATCTATGTATTTTGCTTTACAAATATGCAAATTGTGTATATGTTTCTAATCAAAGAAGTATATTTCTTTTGGGAAAAAAGTCACTTTGTTCTAACTCAAGTAATTATATGCATTCTACGACACAGTTGGTATCCAGCCAGTCAAATTCAGAAGATTCTGTAAAAATCTAATATCTACCTATTTATGATTTTTATGGGGGAAATGGTTGGAGGCCAAAGTGGGATTGATCTATTTGTTCATTCATCCATGCATCCATTTTCCATCCATCCAAAATGCAAGAATACTGTTTAAATTTAGGAGTCAAGGAAGGAGGAGTACATATATCACTTTTTAGTGTAGAGAAGGATATGTTCTCTTCTGGTTTCTTTGTGGAACAGAAACAATTGCTTGCTTTTTGTGATATGTACTATGCCAGTCTGACTTTTTTAAATCCTATAAAATCCACTTAAGCTCCTGAATGAATCAGGACACTGTGTTTTTCTCTAAACTGTCCAATATTGCTGCATACCATTTTCTGCACTGCAGTAGAGCTGCGGTTCTGAAAGCTCGGATTTGCCATAAAGGTTCATTGGAAAGATTTATGGGCCCTTGGTGCACTGCAAGGACCTTTCTTAAAATTCAATACTAAGACAAGAAAAGAGAACGAAGAAGAAAGTTTCAAAACCTGAAACAAAACAACAACCATCACTGCTATTTAGAAGGGGAAATACTACATTATTAATTAAGATATTTATATAAAATGTTTTCTGTTAGCTTTACCAATAAGTTCCTTTGATCTACTGTAGCATTATGTTCTTTTCATATGCTTCAAAAATATATTGGGAGCTTTCACATTTAAGAAACTAAATATTAATTTTAAAATTAATCATATACCATCCTAGATGAAGAAACAAACATATATAATTATTTCTTTTATATCTTTTACCCCATCTTTAATTTTAAAAAGGCAACCAATTAATTATATAAAGAAACCACAGTGGCAGTCTGGTTAAATCGGTTTTTTTTTTCTTTCTTGCCCTAAGTGTTATGGGAATATGCAATGGTGAGAAAACAGGGCTGAAACAGACAAACTAACCACAATCAAATGTGCTTGATTACTGAATTATATTTTGTATTGCTATTCTTCCAAATAAATGTACTTTTATTGACAGAAGTTGGATAGCAAGAAATGTGATCTGTAGTCTTCATAATATCTATGAATGGTGAATTTGCTTTACTGCCTTGCTTTTTTTAAACTGGGTTGGTGGGACAAGGCCTATTTTTGATAGAGATGATAAGTTTGACTGTACACATCTGTGGACTGTACCTTCCAAGATCTTGAAAGCTATTCAGAATAATTTGTAAAATAAAATAATAAAATAATGAATCCTAATCCTTCTACATACATGGGGTCATATTCTCCAAAATCTCCAGCACCTTCTTTTAAGCTAGCCTTGCTTGTATATTATGTTTGGAAAATACTGCTTTCCTTCTATAGCAGGGTGCCCTCTGTGAAACAAGGGCCAGTCCAACGAGAAGGATTTTATAAGAATATCAAAAGAGAAGCTTTTATCATTATCATTATATCATTATAAAGGAACAATATGCTTAAAATGTTAAGTGTCATCCTACCCTGTTTTGGCGAAGTTTGTCCAATAAGTCATAACAACCGCACTGAGCATGACATCATTCTTTGAAAAGTTGCAGTTGAATAATTCAGTAGGACCGATCATGGGGATACCAAACACATAAGGGACTTCATCACCATGTGCAGAATCAGCCCAACTGGGTTTCATTTCACTTTGGCAGTGGTGATAAAATGCATAGAAGTATGTTGGAGAACCATATTGAGCATGGAGGTCTGCTGTGGCAACAGCTGGTGCAACCCATTGGTGATCTGTAAAAAGTGCCACCAGGGTCTTCCTTCGTGTTTCAGGATTCTCCTTGTCTGCCCAATCTGTGTACATGAATTTAATGGTTTCTCTTAGAGTATCTTTCCCTTCTGGATAACCATATAGATTGTCCACAAAATTAGATACGGAGAAATCAAAATCATTTGGAGATATGCCTTCTTCATTATCCACAATTCCATCTACAAATTTTAAACCTTCTCCTTGGTTTACACCTAACATTATATCATAGTTGAGAAATTCTCCCTGTTCCATTAGAATCTGTGGATCATCTGGAATTACATCCCCATCAATCACAGGCCCAAAGGCAATGTGGTATGTAGCTGGTGTGATTGTTTGCTGAATGAGTTCTTTGTAGTTCTTATTCCGAAAGCATTCAACTAAGTCTGTAGTGTCCAAAGTGTTGCAGCCCACTTTTTCTGCCAAAATTGCAGTGTACTTGGCAGGCTGGTAATTCACTGCCCAGCTGGACAGGGCTGTTCCACTTTGAATGATTGCTTTTTGGAACAGACCTGCAGGTGCAAAAGTGAAAATTAAAATACACACACATACACAAAAGACAAAGCAAAAGGAATATTTATGATATCAAGAAGAAGCACTGATTAAGAGAAAGCACAATTCATTTTGCTTAGAAAAACGACAACAAAACATTATTGCAGTCCTCTTGCCAAATGGTAGCTATATTTCCTCTCAAATTCAATGTTCATTATATAAAAAATGAAAAATCCAGTGTGAATATTTAGGAGATGAAATTATTTCTGAAATGTGTAGTACATTGAAATAATTGACTCCAATTTTCACTGAATCCATCTATGGAGCCAGATGTTAGTGTTTCTTCCTAACATAGATACAAGTTGATAGCAATTGTTAACTGGCAACATTAACTTTTTCATTTAAAAAAAACCCTGTAATGCTTTTGAAATTTGTATCTGGACTTTGCTAAACTTCACAAAATCTCTTATACATAAGCTACTTCAAACAGAGAAACAGTGATTTCACAATCGAGTCTGAAGATTTTATTCAAAGGAGTGATTCAATCAACTCAATTTTAAATGTAATAGTGGAATAGAATATTTCAGTAGAGTATTGTGCAGTCTAGCACAAATTTATATCTTCTTTCTTCTTTTGCAATATGCATGGTTGACCAATTTAATTGCAGCAAAATATTTTTGGGTATTTTTGCTGTATTTTTTAAAATGGAATTTTAAAATTACTAATTTTATTTAGTAGTTATGAAGATCATTAGATTATGGTTAGTTTATTGATTTACTCCATATATTACAAAAACACTTATTGTCATGACCTTTAACTGGGCAAACAGTGCGTCATAGGGCAACAATTTTTAAGCCAAGGGACCTCAAATGGGCTAACTTACAGAATGCATTCCAAATCTGTGACCTATGACTCCCATGGGAATGAAATTTGGAAAAGTTGTGGCTGCTTCATTGCTATAGGTTGCTGCTGCACTACTGGACTGAAGTCACTTCTGCTACCACTGCTGGTTTTTTTGCCCATCCTTAGTCTTTCTGTTTCTCTGAAACAATGATCCATCAGGCCATATGTGTCTAGTATTACATAAAAGCTATTGTTTTTATTTTAAAAATTGGAACTGAAAACCTAGTACAATTGATATAATACTAATTCCTAAGATGCTGATATCGTACAAGTAATCCTTGACTTACAACCATTTGTGTCCATTAGAAGTTATGGACACACTGAGTAAAATGAATTATAACTGTTTTTCTACTTATGACCCAACACATCTCCATAGTTATATGATCAAAATTCAAACACTTGGAAATTGGCATATATTTATGAAAATTGCAGTGTCTTGGAGTCATGTGATAGCTTTTAGCGACCTTCTGACAAGCAAAATCAATGGAGAAGTCACATTCACTTAACAACTGCATTACTAACTTAACAACTGTAGTGTTTCACTTAACAACTGTGGCAAGAAATGTCGTAAAATGGGGTAAAATTCACTTAACAAATGTTTCAGTTAAACATAAATTGTGGTTGTAAATTGAACATTATCTGTAGTAGTTTCTGGAACTAATTCCTACTGTTTTTGCAATCCATTATTACTTTATAGAGCCTTGATGGCTCAGTGGTTAGAGTGCAGTACTGCAAGCTACTCCTACTGCAATTTGGCAGATTGAATCCCACCAGGCTCAAGGTTGACTCAGCCTTCCATCCTTCCGAGGTGGGTAAAATGAGGGCCCAAATTGTTGGGGGCAATATGCTGACTCTGTAAACTGCTTTGAGAGACTGTAAAGCACTATAAAGCAGTATATAAGTCTAAGTGCTATTGCTATTATGACTACTAAAATCATATTATTTAACATGGAAAACGGTTACCTTCTGAATAGTGAGACAATGTCAAGAGACTAACACAAGATGCTCCAGCTCCTGATCCAAAAATTGTAACTCTTTTGGGGTCTCCTCCAAATGATCCAATATTTTCTTCAATCCATCTCAGAGCTTGAATTTGGTCAAGTAATCCATAATTGCCTTTTGCTGCTTGGTCTCCAGTACTTAGGAAACCTACAAATTCAAAAAGAAAGAAAGGAAGGAAGGAAAGAATACATTAAACGCACTGGTCAAGGAATCAGTTATAGGGCATACAAATAAAATCTTTACTTCTTCAAATTTTCAAACGCTTATGGTTCGACTTAAATGTAATTAATAAAAGCTTTAAGGACCCAATTATTTATTCTGTCATAGAAAAATGCATGAAGTGTGGCAATTTTTATTTCTTTTACATATATGCTCCTATAGTAATTACAATATTAAGAACAGTATGTGTGTGTGTGTGTGTGTGTGTGTGTGTGTGTATATATAT